ATATTGATGCAACATAACTTCAAGTTAAACATAAAGGAATATTTTATACAAATAATATTACGCATATGTACTATATATCGGGCGTCACATCTGTTTTATGGATGAATAATTTACAACAATTAAAATTTAGGTTTCAAGGATTAAAATTATTACCAATAAAATTACAATAACAACAGTTATTTACATTCAAACCTCAATTCGAAATCTTCTCCAATGTTATAGTATAAAGGAAAGAACTTTTAAAAGGGACATTGAAATGACCCAGACAGAGTCCATATTTTACAAAAAATTGTTATTCTAACCCAATTTGAATTATTTAAAATTAAGTTAAATTTTCAATTAAAAGTACTCACTACATTTTTGTGAAAAGATGTGGCTTTGGTTCAAAGATAATTCTACTTGTAGTTTCGATAATCCGTTATGTAGCCGGTTCACGGTTTCGGGGTTGCTTACTGTGAATATTTTTTTTATTTTTTTTTGTTTAGTGTGATGAAAAAATGTAATTTTTATGAAGAAAATGGCACCCACAATCACAACATATAGAGACAGACAGACAGATAGACAGTTAGAGGACACATGAAAAAAGCAATAACAATTTAAGGCAATTTAGTTGATTTGATTTGCTGGGTGCCATAATATATGATGATGACTTCCATAGCGGATGTGGTAGAGTGGCCATGTTGGAAGTTATTTTACCTGCAAAGCTATTTTATTGTATAACACATGTTAACATTTGAAGTTTCTTTATAAAGAAATTAAGCTAAATAAATGGTTGTTTTTCTATGATATATTATTTTTAGATCGACTTAATAAGAAAAAAAAATGATTTAGACAAAAAAGTCCTCTTTTGGTGACAAAGTTTTTGATTTTAGAGATTTTTAAACATTAATTTCTTTTTGATTGGGGCATATAACAGAGAAATTTTTTAGTTCTTATGTAGAATATATATATAGATATATATGTATATAGAACTAATAAATTAAAATGTCTATTAATTTTAGAATATAATTTGAATGAAAATAATATTTATAATGAAATAAAGTAAGGAGACATGATTTTAAATATAGAACAGCAAAGTTTCTGAGAACAAACAAAGTTTCTGAGGTAATACTTCAATAATTTACAGAAGAGTTCTTAGCTGTATTGTATATGGTTTATCACCAGGATTATTCAATAACAACTGAAAAGTACAATATTCCCTGAACTCACAAGTCTTCTGAATTTCTTTTTATATTTAAATAATTTTTTCACAAATATATAATTTATTTATTGTTTACATATATTATACACAAATGAATATTTTAAAATATTTTATAATAATATGAACAGTTTTTGAGATATTCAAAAACTTTGATAAAAAGTCCTTATTTTAAGTCCTTATTGTAGACAAACTCTTACTAATATTTATCAATAAATAATTTTCGACTAATCTTCAATCTGAAGATACTTCTAAAAAAATTTCTTCTAGTTTTTTTTTTTATGGTGATTTATTTAAACCCTTTTTTATTGGAGTTATTCATTTTCTCGTTATCAAATAAAAAAATCGATTTATTTTAAAAAATTTTTAGGTTTAGTAAAATATATGGATTTTGTATAATAAATATTATAAAATATTATATAGAAAAAATAAATTCAAATAAATATTTTTCTGTTGCGAATAAATATTTATCAGACATTTGTGAAGTCAAGGAGATTATTTTAATTGTTTGGAAATATAAACAAACTTCCTTCTTGGTACAATGCAAATATCAAAATACTGTGTTTACTTAGATTGGAAGGAATTGGTTTAGTATTGTTTATATATTTAAATTATTTTAAATAAAAAATATTAATTAAATTTATTAAAGACATTATTTAAGAATTAAGTGAAGTGTTTGTTTTGGAAAAGTTGAGTTAAAGTGTTAATATTGCTATAAATTAAGTAACAAATAAGAAGTGATGAACTCATAATAACCAGTCTAAAGAAATTAAAGAGATATTACTAACTTTAAATAAAAACTCAATTTGTTTAAATTTAATAAAAAAAGTAATTAGTATTAGCAATAAAAATGGGTAAGAAAGGTAAAGCCAATAAATTGGCTAAAATGTCTGAAGAAGAACGGGCGAGGTATTTGCAACTGCGTGCTGACATTGAAGAGGAAGCAAGACGTCGTAAAATGCAATTGCTATCACTTTTTATGAAAGTATGTATTATATATATGTATAGTATATAATTTTTAATTAGTTGGAAATTAATTGATTTTAGAATAAATTAAAACGTGAGGATGCATTTTGTCGTTTAAATTTGGCAAAGATTAATCAGGAGTGGCGGTCCCTACTGCGACAAATAAAATGTGATGAGCTACGAAATGAAATTATGGAAGTGGAAAAGTTTTTTGAAGAGGCGCTGGAAAGAAAAAATCAAACAATTAATCGGTTATTCGATGAGTTAGATTTGGCGGAAGATATGTATGGTACAATGCAACAATCCCATATGGAAACCATAAACTCTTTTATAGGTTAGTGGTCTGTTTATTTATTTAACCGATCCATATTTTAGTACTAATAGATGTTACATTCTAAGTGGAAAGTATTTTGGCTTAAGGTGCAGCAATGATTTGCCATAATTATACATGTTGGTATCGATATATAAAGAAATAAAACAATTTAGAATACGAGTATGAATATTTTACTGAAACAGTATGGTGCGGTCTTTAAAAATTATATTAAATGAAATATTAAGGCTTATACAGAAAAAAAGGAGTTTTATCAAGTTCTAATCTTATATTTGTGGAATACACTTCCTAAAGAAAATACTTTTATTTCTTATTTTATGTAATTTCTTATTATTTAAAAAGATGTCATGTATCTCAAGGCTCTCAATTTTCGTCAAGTGTTTTTATTTAAATTTGTAAAGTGTTATTATAGGTAAAAAGAATGATAATATTTGATTACTTTCTGCTCAAAAAGTATCCGGATTTTGTTGGTTGTTAACTATTCCTTAAGTAATAGACCTTTTTCAAAAATCAAATTTTTGTTATGTTGGTACACTCTTTCTTGACATATGGTACAAATTTGAGCACCATCTGTCAATTAGTTTGTTTACAGCAGCTGTTAACGTGAGATTACCGAAAGTGCATTTAGCGATTTTTACTATGGAACATTCTTGTTGTACGCGATGTTTTGACCAAACATGGCACCACTGTCATTGCTCAGGCACCATAGAACAGATACGATTGAAAAAACCCTTCCCTACTTAGAGAAAACCTGTACGAAAAAGAAACTATTAAACATTTTCTCAGTGAATGCACAGCCTTGGCTTTCAGAAGATATATGTTCTTAGGAAAATACTTTTTTGACGGTCTGCAAAACTGTTCATCGGTAGGGATGAAAGACCTATTAAATTACATAAATGAAATGAAATGAATTTAGTTAATATTTTTCTAACTTTGAGCTTCTTGTGAGAAAGGTGATATTAAAACGCCGAAAAGTTGTTGATTGAGGTCAATGGAAACTTTTCTGCTGACTTCCCACTATAAACAGCTAATCATAGAGTTACTATTTTGCAGTAATCAGTGACTATTTAGCACGCATGGAACTGTAAAGCACATATAAATTAAAAGAAAAATCGTTAGATAGCTGTCAGAGTTAAAATATTATAGTTACAATATTCACTATCTCAAGGAAAATTCAATATTCTAAAAGACGCTCTTTCAAAGTAACCATGAAACCAGTAAACGATTGGATCCAATACAAAATGGCTGATATATTTATATATAGAATGTAGGTAATATTTATATATCAAAATCAAAACAAAAGTAAAATACATTATAAGGGAAACACAATGCATTAGCAGAGACAAGGCACTCTTCATATAGAGTGGGTGGTACATAAGTAAACGGTTGGATTCAATGAAAAACAGTTGAGATGATGGTTGTTATAATAATAACTGAAAGTAAAAGTTTTTTTATAAAATTATGTTTAATAATATGTGATTTATTTACTGATTTGCGTTATTGTTAATTAAAGTTAGTCGTATAAAGTCAGTTAAACAATATAATTATTTTCTATAATTATATACAAACAATACACTTATATATAGACTACTAGAAACATTCACTTACTGTAGCTAAAATTGAGAAACTCTTCCATAAATCTAGAACTGATATGTTTTCAAGATGTTCCACCTTTCATAATTTTGATGTTAAAAATCCTCACAGAAATATTATTTATATAAATAAAATCTAGTCTATATTGGAATTGGAAAAGATGTATTCATTTAATATGGCGTACCTTTATAATTTATTGGTTATTTATTAGTTTTTATTAAAAAAATTTTTATATATTTATAAAACATATATCATACAATATATTGAATTCATAATAATTTTAATTATTTTTTACGATTATTTCTGTTTTTGGTGGAGAGATTTTTTGGTTGACCATACAGTTGTTTCGAATATGAGCTAATTTTTTTGAAATGGGTTAATTGGTCAGTTGTTAAATAAAACACTTTTTGAAAAATTTTTTATTTACGCCCTGAGTCCCTGAAAATTACTACAGAATATAGTCACAATATTGGTGTAAATAAAAAATTATTTAAAAACTAATTTAAAAAAAAAAGTATTATTTAACAACTGACCAATTAGTCCGTTTCAAAAACAAATTTATTAATTAAAATCCTGGTCATTAAAACAATGGATTAATTATTTTTTTAAAATTCATCTCGAATATAGGAAGACAACAAGAACGGACCGATTTCTTTCGGAACCAGTATATGCATCAGCAAACAACTGTTTTGGATCAATATAAGGAAGATGTGGTCCAGTTTAAGAAAAGTGGTGACCGTTCGTTTCAACAATTAGAAAGCATATTTTACCAATTAAAATCGCATACCGACAAAGAAAAGGAAGAGTCACAGGAAGAACAACAAAAACGTGTGGATGATGTGAAAAGTACAGTACGTGTTAATATTTATTACATTTAAGACATTATATGATAATTCAAACACTTTTTTTCCTTTCCACTTTTTAAAGCGGTTGAATATTTTATTGTAGCTTTTAACAAAATTGCTGATTAAAATAGTTGCCACGGAGTGAATTAATTAAATATTAAACTGCTATCATTCCAGTCATCACAGTTCGCTTTACCATATTCGGCTAGGCAATTTACAAGCTCGTGAGAGAACTCACATTTGTCCAGCCTGTTTCGGTTTTCCAAGTAGAGGAAGCACATTTGTATACTTTCAGTGTAGAAATTACGCAAATCCCGTTCTCTCATGTTTTTCGTCAACATGAACATAACTTTCTGCTTGTCCGGATAATTATTGTTGTTGAGCTAAAATAAAGTTGGAAGTTTGTTTAAAAAAAAATCAAGTGTAAAATATTAAAGTGCAGAGGACACATTAAGCTTTTACTTGCCATATTCATTTCATCAAAGAAACAATGTACTACACATTTAACATCATCCTTGGAGTTGTTTTTATAATTGCCATTGTTGAAATTGCCGTAATTATTGTTATCATGGCTTCCTCCCCCAAGCCTTTGACTGTTATTACTATTGCCAGAGTTTGGATTGCGTATATTCGGGTTTCTGTTATCGGTATTGTGCTGTTCATTCCTACCATTCCGACCACTGAAACTGTTTCGGCTGCGAGGTCGTAGTATTTCATCATACGCAGAGTGTTCTGTATTTTTGGCATAATTATAGTTGTTTCTATTCTGGTTGTTGTTACTATTTTCCAAGTAATCGTAATCATCGTAATTTGCTTCTTTTCTTTGTTCGAAATTTTGATTGCGAGTTGGAATACCCAAATGACCAGCATGAAAGTTTTCGCTCATTTTTTTCATACACTTCCGGGTAACTCGCTTGAGTTCAGCTTCATTAATACCATCATCCGTACGGCATTTTAGTCCTGCTGTAATGTGTATTGAAATTAAAGTAATTAATATCAAATCACGAATCGAATAAGCGCGTAAAAATCGTGACATCGTAACTGGAAAATCCACTTCAAACTGAATTTTCAAAAATATTTTTCAAATTATTTATAGCAAATCACTTGAAAACTTTTCATTAAAAGGTAATAAAATGCAACAAATCGTTGCAATCAGAAAATTGTTTAAAGCTTACTTGTCACTCATACGTCAAGTAATGCAGTTTTTTGATTAAATGCAATTATAATATAAAAATTATATTTTCCATGAATCTGATAGCTTATTTTTCTTATTTTATTATTGTCATAATAATAATTTTTTATGATAGATTACTTTACGCTTGGAAAATATCACGAAAGTTGGAGAATTGAAGCTTGAAAACCTCTGGCAAGAATATCAAGATGTTCTGTCTGCTTATATGCGGCGCAATGAGGGCTTCTATGCGGAATATGTGGATCTTAAAGAACGAGATGAAGAAAGTACTACACTTATCAGAACACAATGCTATGAAATGGAAAAAGCTACTGAACATTTAAGTCGTCTAAAACTTAAGTACTCTGATTTAACTGATAAGAATGACGTCAAAATGAAGTATTTGACAAAGTTAAGAAGCGATTTATGTGAACGTTTGGCTAATTTGAAACAAACTGCTAATAAAGAAATCGAAGATGGAAATAAGAAATTTAAACTGATGAGCGTAACTAGTCATATTGCATTAAAGGTAAGTATATAAAATCGAAATAATGTATAAGTTAAGTAGACTGTACGTCTTTTCTAAATCTCTCAATGAACTTGCAACAAATTATAGTATTTAAAGTGGTAGTAAATAGTATTTTAATTATTTTGAAATATTTTGCATACTTCATTTTATATAAAATTAGAATGTTGACCTTTCAACATAAGTAGAAACACTAGATGCTTATTATGTATTAATAATATAGTAGGATTAAGATCACCTTTTATACTATATAACGCTCTATGGACTTACTTACTACTTACTTGGACTACATACTGTAAATTTTGTAGTGTATCATTCTGATGTTGTATCGAAAAAATTTTATTCTAGTTTTAAGTTAATGTTTCTCTTAATCAGTTAATAATAAATTTTATAATTAGTTTGATAAGTTTCGTGATTAATTATATGCATATATTTATATTATATATATAACTTCAACAGCATATAGAAAAAATTGCTGCTCAAGGGGAAAGACTTATGCAAATGGCTGCCATATGTCGTAACTATGAAAAGGAAAATGAGATACTAGCACCCTTTGGACTTCCACCAATATCTCGGGAGATGTTTGTTAACACAGAGGAGGAACTTGCACAAGCTCCAGATATGTTAAAAGATGTAACTTATTTCTACATACAATTTTTCATTTTATAATTAAAAAGTGTAATATTTTACAGAAAAAATTAGGTAGATGGCATTTGATGGAGAAATTTTGGCGACGGGTTAATAATGTCATAATCGACAATGCCTACCTTAAAAAGGAGAAAAAACAATTGGAAGATGAAAATGCACAATTGAAAGCAAAATTGCAAGAACATTTAGTTAATCTAAATCTTAGCAGTGGTTCCAATGCACATATAGATGAATATTTACTAAAAAGACCCAGTAGTATGAGAGTTGATCGTGTAGTGCAGATTGACCTTGAAAGGAAACCTAAAAGCCAAAGCGCGGATGTTAACCATGAACGCTACCGACGACCCTTGACTTCCTGCCTTGAAGCAAATTTTACAAATGCCGTACGTTCGAAGCAATTGCTGAGAGGAAGAGTAAAACAACCCAAAATTGTATCAATCATAAATTGGTAAAACGGAAATTTCTCAATAAATTGATATATAATTTTTGGACAAAAAAAAAACTAAAATTCTGTATAACAACACAAATTAATAAAATGTTAAAAAAAACTAACAACGGAAATTGGCATAAATTTTGCTTATGTGATTTATTGAAAGTATAAATTTACATTAAATAATGGCGCAAACAAGTTTTGGACTTTATTTGACGTACGATTTGGGACTTGAAATTCAATTTCCAATACGAGATACACAGATATTCCAGAAGCACATACAGAAAAAAAAAATGTAAATAAATAATCATAATAACGACGACAGGCAACAAATCAATTTCAGAAAAGTTTTCACTGTGGCCAAATGATTCAACAACAACAACAACAACAATAACGACAAAAATAACAACAACAATACCAATACAAATGACAGCAGAAATACCAACAACAACAACAACAACAGTAAGCAGGAGAAGCGTAAAGCCTGCTCATTGAATATTCATGTCAAATCATAAAAACCATTTGTCAAAATTCGCAATCACACAAACACACACAATCGCACTTCCCTCACACAAATTTATATGGCAACTGATAAGCGAAAAGCGCTTTGGGAAATTTGTAGGAAATTATTTAAAATGGCATGCACTCATACAACCGCTGTACAAATACGCCTCAGCCGAATTCAATACATGAAACGCAGTTACATTTGCATTGTATCGGCATTTTTGCTGGGATGTGTTTTTGAAACGACCGTGATTTGTAATGAGTAATAGGAAAACGTAGTAAAGTTGCCAGAGTCTGTTCTGATACTGACAATTCCATACAAAGTTTTGACAGATACTATTGTTAATTTATGGGCTTTACATATTATTGTCATTTTCTGCAGCAACAAATTGATTTTTGCGCTCCTTTTTTCAGCTCTTTTGGCAATCAAACAAAATTTCCAAAATTTAAGTCTAAAATGTTTTTATCACATTTTGTATAATAAATCTGTGATTACGGCTACAATTACAGAATTAAACCTAGAAACGATTTTTATATATAATATATTTACAAATGTTGGTGGATAGTTTTAATGGACGTTAAATATGTTACCTTAGACTGTTCAGAATTCAAAAGCTCCTAATAATGCGATTAACTGTTACTTTTTTGGTAACTCTAGTTGGTTTTGATAGAATGCTGTCCATGGCATTATGGATTCAATCATAAAATAAATTTTAGTAATAATTTTTATATTTAATATCTTCACTATTCATAGTAGATGGTTTTAATTGATGATAAATATATTACTTTAGACTTCTTAAAATACAAAAGTATGCTTAACTATGGCGGCCAATTGTTACTTTTTTGATAAATCTAGTTAAAACGCTAAGTGCTTTGTTGTTGTTATTGTTTTACCCCGCCGGGATCCGAAAATCAAATAACATGTAAGGATTACAAGATGAATACATTAGTTGGGATGTGAATGGTTGGCGTTTTGTGCAAGGGTAGGGGGAAAAATGAGGATACCATTAAAATCAATAAAAAAAACTCATTTGAGCTTGAGTAATGATACATTATGATATAATGGATTAGCGTTGTTCATAGGCAGACCAGAAGGATTTTCGCAATAACCATCGTATTCAGCGTGCAAGTAACTTCAAATGGTATAACTCTACCATTCAAGTAAAAGTAAATTAACCTGAAAAGTTTTAAAAATTACCGAAATAATTAAACAGTTTTGTCAAGTTGATAAGAAAAGAGTTACCAAAGCTTTGTTTTCTTTTATTCGGTATTAACTACGAAGGTGAAACATGAATCCCTACTTCTCCTCAGACAAAAACAAAAACAAAGATAAAAGTCACTTTTGAGCAGCCCATATAGCACAACTTCCTCATATGAAGTGACCCACGTGTAATTCAAATTTAATATAAAATAATTTAGTTAAAATTAGATAAGTAACATATATATTGTTCATTAAAATTTTAAAAATTTCATTTAGAATGTTGCAGATTTGAAGAAGACGACATACTGTAGAAGTAGGGTAGTGTAAGTTTTTACGATCTTAATATGTTTGGTAGTTGTTAAACGATAAATATGGGGTATTGTCAAGTCTTAACTAAATGATGTCATGGATGACAGTTTTGTTTGACTGCTTCCATATTTTAACCACAAATTGGACAACCTTTTTTAATTACTTTAAATATGGATTTAAAAAAGAAAACGTAATTGCTTTTTATTAATAGTGTTTCCTAAATAATGTTGTGCTTATACCAACTCAATACAATTACGCTTAATTAATGACTTTTATTTCTTATAAATGTTTTAATATCTAGTAATATATAACAAAGTTGGATTAGCAGGCTATTTTCTTAAATAATAGAGAAGACGTAGAGAGTGAAGAAGAACAAGTAAAAGGTCTAACAGTGTTAATTGCATTTAATAAATTAAAAGGTGAACCGAAATGTGGTGTCCCGAAACCTAATGACCCTAACAATAAATTACTGTAATTCTGCACCAAATTTTATTATTTAAGTTACTTTCAGAATCAGAAGAAATCAAATATTTCATTGTATCATTTATATATACATATATATATGTATATAATCAACTTAATTGTAAAATTAAGTGCAATTGCAGTAGAACTAAATTGTGCACAATTAAATTATTTACAACCACATAAGCAATTTGAGGTTGATTTATGTTGTATGCAAGACCCGGAAAGCGCCGAGACTATCATTAACGTCTTGTGTGCTTAATGATTTGCAAATGCGGTTAAACAAATAAACAAATGAAAATCTGGAATTTAATAAACCGCCCTCGATTAGTGTCGCCCAAATTAACAAATATTTCATTATAAGGACTCGCATAGCATCGTTAACAGTATGAGTCCTTGACGTTATTGCTTGCAATTGGCAACTGATGTCAATAATGTGTTGCTTTTATGTAAATGCTATTTGCACATCCCAACGCAAACATACAGGATATAACGTCTTCATATCCTTTTAGATATGCACATTTGTATTTTATTAATAAACTGGCGTACATGCAGTATCTGCACAAATAAAGTGCATTTATTAGTAAATGATGGAAAGTGTATTCCACTCGGATGCAGTTACGTGCACATAAACAAACGCTATAATATGTAAATATGTATTTTTGCCAATTTGCTATTTCAGTTGAACAAAACCAAACTATTTTACACAAACCAACTTTGCTCGGTGGTAAGATTGTAATGTTGTGGCATTTTCGGTAAATTGATTTGATTGATTTCATGTCTCGATTAATTA